AGCTAAAGATTTCTTCAACCCACTGAAATAATACCGGCCGAACACGCCAATTTCACCAAAAAATGGAAAAAGGATATTCCATCCAAAGTACGTAACCTTATGGAGAACTTCTACACAAACCAAATGTGGGGGAGGTACTAGACTTTTTATTACCTTTTAATATGAAATAAGTTTAATAACGGACAATTACAAAATTTTATCATAATTTTTACGACGCAACACAATCAATGACCAACGCACGCATTTCTTAATCAATCCTGCCAAAACATTCATTCCTACCAACCACTCACTTCTGCCAATCACTCATTCCTGCCAATCATCCATTACCAACCCAATCATTCTTCTCGCATTCAAACATAAAAACAAACCTCACACCAAAATCCTAAACAAAACCCCTCCATCGATTTGTGAACCGTGTCAACAAAATCTAGCCGTCAACTATATCTTATCAGATTGCAAGGATTAAGAAGATACAAGAAATCGCCTCCAAATTCCAAACCAAGTCAGTGAAATATTCAAGAACGAAGAGACCCTAAAGAAAGCAATCGAATTCGTGCACAAACAAAACCTCACACACGAAACATAAAACTAGCAACCGTGGTCGCTAATAAAGGGGTTGATGCGACCCTATACCAAAAAAAACTTCATAAAATAAAAATATGTCTCTTCACTTTGTTTTTAATAATTTTTTAAATAAAAAGTGTACAGTGAATAACAGAAATTTTTCAAAATGTGCTATCGCCCCAGAAGTACAGCGCTCATCTTCTAATAGGAACATTTTTAGTTTTAACTTTTCAAAAGTACAGTAAAATCTGGATATATGCAACAGAGATTTGGACTCAGACGTTGCATATATCCAGCCGAGGTGTCGATTCTGGGCATTTAAACGTTGCATATATCCAGTCGAGGTGTCGATTCTGAGTCCGTACACATCGTTTGTATTTAGCCGCGATGCCAATTCTGCGTTCGTACACATCATTTAGACAGGCTGTACACCAAAGATGCATCAAACACGCAACATGCAACATGCGACGTAAGGTAAATACCGCGCATATAAAATTGTTAAAATTTTTCAGGATTAATTTGCTACACTGGTTTACGCAATTTAGCAACATGTAACATTTACATTACGTCGCATGTTGCATGTTGCGTGTTTGATGCATCTTTGGTGTACGGCCTGCCTTATACATATGTAGCCGAGGTGTCAATTCTATGTTGTTTATTCTATTATTATTGTTTATTTATTCTATTATCATTCTGTTATTATTGTTAGCTTGTAAATTACTTTAATTTTCAATAGGAAGAAACTGTCCGGTTTCATGGAAATCACGGGCTGTTCCTAACATCATAAAGCACCTAATTTGCAGTCAATAGTTCAGCAGCATATTCTGAATAAATAAATAAATAAATGAATATAATTCAAACTATATCGTGTTTGGTATCATTTTAATCAGAAAAATCTCACAAATGCGTTAGTAAAAGTTTCATTAAGAAAAAGTTAAAAATAAAAAAGTTTTATCGTTGAATTAGTATTAGTCACACCGATATTATGATTCGGATCGTATTACACGGCTTCCTTGTCGAGCGTCTCGGTTCGCCAAGGGGGATCTCCCCAAGTGGAGGGGATAGCGATGTTGCACATATCCAGCTTTTACTGTAATACGCAGGGTATCCCAGCTAAAGGTGGTCACCTAAACATTTCCATTGTTTTTAAGTTATAAAATATGTTTACAGCATAATTGAAATGGTTTTCAAGGGAGCATATCGTGAAAAAAAGGTATTATTTGCTCGCTCTTATTTTTTATTGTTTATTAAGGTTCAGTTGTTTTTTTCAATCGTAAGTTCTGGTACCATTATCTAACAATTTCAACTTCTAGTGTTCAAGGTCATCTGCAAATCATTATGCAACTACATTTAGATGTATTTTGCAGTGTGTTACGAGGTTGTGTAGAAAAAAAACCTTGGAAAAAACTTAAGAAAAAAACAAACAAATAAGCAAAAAAGTTTTATTTTGCAGTGTTCCCTAGTAAAGACTATTTAAATTGTGTTACAAGCATTTTTCATAACGTTAAAAACAATGGAGATATTTAGGTGGTCTCCTTCAGCCGAGACACCCTGTATATGTATATATTGAAATTTCAATCTATTTCAATAAAAATAGTAGCACGAGAATAGCACATTCCTCTCGTGATTTTCCTACCTTTGCCATACGAACCCCTAGCTGATGCAGTACATATTTCTATTAATCAATAGGTAGGTATTTCATAACATCTTTCTTATAAAAGTACGTATCATGTACATTCGCAATCAAATCAAGCTTCTCTAGGGAAAATGGTGATATAGGAGAAGTCGGAATTCTTAATATTAACATTAAAAGTAATATCAAACAATATAATATAATTTTCAGTTATTAAATATTATACAATTTAATTGTATAATTAAAAAGTACGGAGAGCAAAGTAAATATTGATTCAAATTTTCTTGCGTGACGGTTTGTGCACAAAGGGTGGGAGTTGTAGACCTAAATATACATGAGGACCCTTCCCTAGATGATCACTTTCTCCGGTGGTGCCTACGTGGAAGGAGCGGGTCCCGGGGCATCATCATTTTTCCTGGGAAGTCTACTTTCCTGTTCGTCGCATTACTAATTAAGAAAATACGAATAATTATGAGACTTATTACTACAATATAATATTACTGTTTATATTAATAATTACACTAAGGCATTAATATAGTAATAACAATAATAATATAATTATAATACTGTAAATGTTACTGTAATAAGTATAGAAGCTCCCAATGTAGCAAAGCAATTTTATTAACCGTGATTACGAGGACTTCTCGATTTTTGCTTGCTAATTTTTCATGCGTTGCCGGTGCGCTCGCCTTCTTTTTTAACCGACTTCGAAAAGGAGGAGGTTACTCAATTCGATCAGTATGTATTTTTCTTCTGTGTGTTCACCGATTACTCCGAGATGGATGGACCAATCGGAACGAACCCTTTTGCATCTTGTAGGGTATGTCTTCCGATTGGTCCCATTGAAAAAAAATTTTTCATTTTTTCATTGTTATTGCAAAATACAGGAAGTTTTTAATCTCAAGATTGGACGATTTCAATGACCTTTCAATATGTTGTCAGGGGCGTAATTCTGAATAACTTTTTCATTATGCGTAATTAACGGAAAGCTTTAGTTACCGAGATATTCGTGAAAAACTATTGTTACTACTACATTGAATTCTACGTATGCCTACGTGTCTCTACCGGTGTTTGAGTCAACATGCAGTCGCCGATTCTCTACTGTTTCATGTATATATGTATACTCTCCAAGGCATGTACCGATTGCGATGAAACCTTTCACATCTAATAGGAGATATTTCCGCGATATCTCACTTGCAAAAATTTATGCTATTTGTTATTGTTGATAACTATTGTTATAACAAAAACCCTATTCCTTGGTGTTACTTTGCACGGAATGTACCAATCGCGATGAAACCTCTCACATTTAATAAGAGATACATATTTCCGCGATGATCCCACTTGCAAAAATGTATGGAACCTGTTATCGTTAAAAACTATCATTATTGCAATTAATCAATAAGAACGATAAACCACCTTACGGCGCCCTACAAATACTGCTCGTTCCACTAAAAAGTGTGAAATAAAATAATTTTTAACAAAAAATACAACCGACTTCGAAATGCACTAAAAAGTATGAAACAATTTCTATTTCATTTATACAAATACCCAACAGCTATTAATAAAACCTATTTACTCGTTAAATAGTATACTATACATTTCAACCTTTTCGGAGGCAGCGCAAAATTAAAAACGTTTCTTCTACGTGCGGGGTATTTTTAATTTTGCCCCGCCTCCGAAAAGGTTGAAATGTATAGTATACTATTTAACGAGTAAATAGGTTTTATTAATAGCTGTTGGGTATCTGTAGAAATAAAATAGAAATTATTTCATTAGAAAATAGAAATTATTTCATACTTTTTACTGCATTTCGAAGTCGGTTGTATTTTTTGTTAAAAATTATTATCACTTGTAATCGCGCGACGTGTCTCGCGCTTGTTGCTCCAGGACCTGGCGACACCTGTCTGATAACAGTACTATTTTAAATTAAACTGATTGTCTGTTTGACTGTTGTCACCCATATACAGGGTGTTACCTGTAACGTTATTCACGATTTTTCACCCACTTGCAGCCATCTGACAAAAAAAGTTTACAACAAGAGTTGCAGAGTATGAAGTGTATACATAATATCAGTAAAAAAAATTTCGGAAACAGTTTGTTTTCATGGCGAAGTCGTGGTCACCTTGGGTTTTTTCCAAATAGGACTATATATTTTTTTTGTTTACCATATTTGGAGGACATCGAGACGAATTCAAAACACATATTAATTGATATTCTTACTAACATATTATTTGATTTACAGAAGTGGAAATGTGATATATTTAGCTTTCCGTCATATTTGACTTTAACAGTGTAAACATTATTTGACCCCGAAGAGATTAGGGATAATAGAAATAACAAAATGCAATGAACTCACGGTAATTACGTGTACCTATTTGGTGCTCTAGGCGGACAATCAAAGAAACGGATAATTATTGCAAACCAATAACATCTGGTGTCCCTGCAGCTTTTTATTTATTTTTTCGTGATAGCTGTTCGGTAGACTTGAAGGTACTTTAAGGAGCGTTTAAACTAGATAAGAAGATTCTGCCGGGCTACCTTCTTCGCCCCTGGGTACTGACCCATTCTTCCTTGCCAGTTATTATTTGCCTAGTTTAAACATTCCATATGATCCTAGCCTTATTGACTACATAAGACGACAGATCAACTACATATCCCTTCCATTATTTAGCGCGAGTCTACTGTGAAAACAATAGATAAAATTTGTTAAAAATAAAAGTACTATCTAATGGAGTTTTCAATAGCTTCAGTATATTAAATTACAACTGAAACCATCTACTTAACAGAAATTTTTGTTTCACAGGAATCGATAGACCCCCGACGACGCGGCGGCCAAATACGAGGCGAGATTCAAAGAAATCGTGGAAGATGGATCACAGCTATGAAAAGAAGACAGCTGGTATGAAGGACGAGTCGATGCTAAAAGGCCTCGATAACGATGACGAGCAGATTGATTTTCAATCGGCTACAGCTTCGACGTTCCTTCATCGACATTTATTTGCAAACCTCGGTATCACTATTGCCACAGCCATTCTAGCAGGCGGATTGTCAACGTAGACCCTCATAGGATAATAATCTCTTTTGAAACTGATTAATCCATACTTGGACGAATCTCCAGAATGATGCTAGAGACGAGTGTGAGTTCAAGTGGACCTCCTGGATGTGGAAGAATTTTCGAGAAACACGGATAAAGCTAATCTTACGAGGCATAGAGGACCAGCTAGCTAGTCTTTTCCTGTGAATGTAAAATGTCCAGAAAGCGTACGAAAAAGTTCACGATTCTGTGGTGTCGTTCAGCATCAAGACTCGTGTATTGATAAATGACAGATAAATTAAATAAATATAGTGGTGGCGTGTGTGTTCTTCTTTGAAGAATTTTATTTATAATACTATTAACACTTTCGTGGACGCTGAACAGGAGTGACGGCTCAATTCTGAACTGATCTTGAGCGACTTCATGTGAATAAATTGAGAAACCCCGGACGATCCTTGTCTCTCCATGTATGGAAGACAAGGAAAGCGCGATAGCCAAGCAACCATGTTAACATAAAGCTGTTCAAGCGATTTCATAGTCGTAGTACTGTTGGATACAAAAAGGGCTTCTGAGTGCTCAGGCTCTTTTTTACAATTAGCAAAATGCTTAAATAGATTCTACATTTTTTTCTTCACATACCTACTCTCCAAGTTTCATCATTGTATTTTCAAAATTAACTGAGTTATAGCAGATTTCGTAAATGGATGTTGATTGATTGACTTTTACTCTTTGAAAGATAAAAAGTTTCTTAAAAAACAAAACATTGCAAGTTTTTTTTTCTTTTCTTTATTTTTGGATGAATATATTGACATTAAAAACATAATTGAAAGTACGAAATAAGTCAATGAGAGACTAGAATTGTTTCATCATTCTTTTTATTTTTGCTCTTAATATTATGAATCCCATATAATATAAGTCCCATGTAATACTTACTATGATTTTTCAACCACTTGCGAAGATCTGACGAAAAAGTGTTTTAAACAAAAGTTGATCAGTGTTCAATCGGCTACAAGCTATAATAATAAAAAATATCCACTAATTGTTTTTCATTTGATCAAAAATCTGATACATCAGCTGCAACACTGTGGAGTCAAAAATATGTAGTGCCATTTAAAAAAGAATCAAGGTTGTCTTGACACTTTATTGAAAACAATGTTTATTATGACCAACTTTTATTTAAGGTATTTTTTCGTCAGATCTCTGGAATGGTTAAAAAGTCGTGGTAAGTGGTGCGTGGGACACCCTATATATTTCCTTTAAATACTATGTAAATATTAAATGAATAATACCAAATAATTTAAAAAAAATGATAGCTACATATTATTGTTTTATGTAATAAGGGCCTCAAGAGATTATAATTAAAATTCATTTTATTCATTAATATTTTACATAATTCGGATTGTGTTAATGGAACTATAAAAAAGAAATATTAAATTTTCTAACATTACAGGCAGTTCTGCAACAACTTCACTATACACACGAAATATTTAACTTTTCAATGTTTAAAGACATTTTTCTCGAAACTAATCTTTGTCATTGAGACTCTTTTTGCATCCAGCGGTATAGTTCAAAGATTTTGAGGCGAAGAAGCAATATTTTCTCTTGATTCTTTTTTCAAAATATTCTTCGTACAATTATACAGAAATGTTGGCTCCTGAAATTTTTTCATTTTTCATAATACACTTTTGTACACAAAATTTTAAAAAATTCTTTTCAAAAAGGCTATGTACATCAATTAATATACTTCTTCTAAATATGAATGTCATAACTATTATGGGTTTCTTTCAAAATTGTATCCGAAAAACGTGAATTACTTTTTCGTATTTCACCGCTATTCGGCCAAAGGTTCTACTGTCACTCCTGTTAATCCGTTGTCAACTAGGATCTTTGGTTGTCGCTTGACGATAAGATACGCGATATCGCGTGATCGGAGCTTCAGCGGTTAACTTCATCGAATCGTTCTGCAGCGAAAGTGTTAAGAACAATCATTTTTATAACCAAGAATTTATTATTTTTCGTCCGTAAAAGACAATTTTCTTTTACATTTAAATCCTATATTTTCAAATTGATAAAAATGAAAATGTGTTTCTTCTCATTCAATGATGATCATTGAAAGGATAAAATTAATCATCTATGGGAGACATGTTTAAACGATACTGTTCAAACTGCTCGCGTTAAAGGAATAAAATACCTAAGGGTCAAAGTTCGTTGCAAAATTGTATTTTTCAAATGAAGGTTTTGAAAATTCCTGTTTCTATTTATTTTGTACATTTGCAAATATTCGTAAGGCCTATTACAATATATAATAAAATGAATTGTATTTTTTTATATTCTTCTATCATTTATGATAGGGTTAAACAAAATTGTGTAATATAAAGTTTGAAAAACGACTTTTATAAGAAGTATTTTTAACCATCTTTACTTTAATAAATTCTTTTAGCATCTACTGCAATCATTTTCGAAATAAATAGCATTGAAAAGCATATGTATGACAATGGTTAATCATTCTTTATGATTGTAAACGTTTAGATATTCTTAGGTTCATTAATGTTTTCTACATATTCATACAGAAAATTGACGATAAAATTGATAATATTTTTTATTCATATAGTTTATAAAAAAACACCATTTTTATGACATTACAATTTGCTCCCATTACGTACAAACAATTTTTTCAATCGCTGAAGTGAAACGTCACACCCGCCATATGGTATCATAAAAATCTATCCTCATTTCATCAAATTATAATTCTATCACATTGACATCTTTTTCAACTTACTTTTGAAAAATTAAATATGTAAACCCGTATTTAACTTTTATTATTAATTAATTTTTGTTCCTTCATAAACGTATATGAGCAGTGATTCAATTATTCCAACAACTACGACTTGTACTTGATACGATGTTTGTACTTTTATGAGATAATTTTGAACTATTTATTTTATTTAATGAGACATGTTATATGTTGAATTATCAACATAAAAATTGTGTTGTGGCGATGCGATGATTCAGAGGTTTGAGATTAAAGGCTGAATAAGTTTATATTGATTGTATTATTTTGTATAACTTTTAGCTTTCAAGAGCAATATAAGAATATACAGGATATAAAGGGTCAACAGGAAGGCCAAATACGAATCGATCTTGGACAAGGATAGAGGTCCTTGTCTCTTCTGCGTGTTCTTGTCTTGGCGAGACAGAGACAATCGAACAGCTACAGTAAAAGTTGAACAACTATGTACCCGAAAATCGGGACGAAAACCGGGTGGTATATGAAGTGGAGGTGTCTTTTTGATTCTTAGAAACGGCTCTAGCTATGCGTTTGAATGTTACCGAACTTAGAAAAGGACAGAAAGCGAAAGAGAAAGAGATTTGAGAATCAAAACATTCAAGAAAAACATATTGCTGAAACAATATTAATTCAAAATAAAAACTTTTATTTTTGCTGAACGAATCTTTTACCAATACAATTGTGAGGTTCTTCTAATTAAAATAAGACCAAACAGGATATAATTTAGAGCATATTTGCTTATTTAATGAGAGATTTTCTTTTGCCTATTTAACAAATAAATATGATCTGAAGTTTCTTCCCTTTTTAAGATAATAAATAAATATGATTCAAATTATATCGTAATTACATTAGTGAAAGTTTCATTGAAAAAAAAAAACAAAAATCAAAAAGTTTTGTTGTTGCATTGGTATTGTCTCGTCGATATTCCAATTCAAATCAGGTTACACCATTCGCTCGTTCAGCTTCGCAGTTTTTCAAGGGAATCCCCCTAGGTGGTGGGGATGATTACCGCGTAGTTATCCAATGGATTTGCACGGGTACTTATTCAACTTTTACTGTATGTTGATATAACACGATTCAAATATAGCAATTTCATAGTTCAAAGATTTTGAGATGAAGAAGAAATAGTCTCTCATGATTTTTTATCTAAAATATTCTTTGCCCAATTATACAGCGACGTACAAAGCTCGATTTTGCAATTTGGCATTTAAAACTCTATAAAAAGTACATCTTACAAAAGAATTGTTTTACAATTTTTCTCAAAAAGCGCTTTGTACATCGGTCGGTATACTCCTCCTAAATATGAATATCATATTTATAATGGGTTTCTCTCATAATTGTCTTCGAAAAACGTGAATTACTTCTCCGTTTTTCAATGCTACTCCGCAAGAGGTACTAGTGTCACTCCTGTTGGTCCTTAATACCTTATAGCAGTTTATTTCTGCAAACTATCGATGAAATATACTTTCACCAATTAATTTTTGTAAATTTGTTTAATTTTTTGTATGCATCATAAAAATTGAAGGAAACTATATCATTCTTAAACTGTTAACTGCCATGAAGTTTAGCGATGACTGATATCGTCAAATTTAATATAATCAAATATTTTAAAAAGAACAGAAAACGGACGAAGATTTTGAACAATATTATTGTTATACTGTTAATACGAGGGTAACAAACCAAAAGTTTACCTTGTCATATTGAATGATCGTATTCAGAGTAACTGATATTAGGTATGAATAAAGTTACTTAATTATATTTTACCCGTTTTTGAATAACAGGTTGGTTTGAAAGTAGGTAACTGAACTATGAAGGCATATTCTCATTCCTAGTTACAAAAGAACACAGTACACTCTCGTTATATTGCCATAGACAGGGCTGTAGAAGTGGCAAATTTTTCAAACATTGAAGCTCTCATTTTGAAGGGGAGATAGAAATGTATCATCTTCGTAGATTGTAATGATAAAAAAAACGACACTTCTATGCTTGAAAATTCCCATGAGGGTCAAATTACTCACGTGGTAATATAACGAAAATCTACTAAACATGTTTCGCTGAACATAGGTAATTTCTGCTTTATAAAATTTATACATATTCCATATAAATATATTTTAATGAATTAAAATATATTCACTCATTATGAAATCTTAAAAAGGTTCATTATTCAGCAAAATATTACAATGAACATAGAAATCTTGGATTACTTTTATGTATTACTTTTCAACCGAACCTTCGTACAATTAACAAAATATGTATAAATCATATTTGGACACAAAATTGCTACAGAATATAGTAAACAAACAAGAATCAGTTAAATTAAAAAAATGTAACAATTTTTTGTCACAGAATTTGTTATTTTTAGTCCGTAATTCGTTGCTTACACACTTTTGTGATTAGAGTGCTGTACAGACCCTTCTAAATATCTTCATGATGATTAGATGTCTAATCTAAATTTATAATTATTTATAAAGGAAAAATGATTCAACCGCCTAAACATTCATCAAAAAATCATTTACTTAGTTTTTTAATGTAGAATTGAATTTAGTATTGTTTTTAATGTCATTATCCACGACTAGATTTAAGTTTATTTTTTTTTATTACGCTAACAACGTTTAAATTGTTTATAAATAATTTGATCCCAGTTCAAAATTTGGGAAATGTATTCCAAGTTTGTATATATTTAATTTAATAATCGTCGCCAAAATAGTAATTTCACAATATCCCATTTCAAATCTGTTTCTACAGGTTTAAATTTTTAATTTCTTAATTAATCAGTTTAGTGTAATTCCTGAAAGTTATTAAACCGACTCGCAAAAGTTTGAAGCAAGCAACAACAATTAAACGATCATTTTTTTATTATTAAACCGAGTTATGCTGTTCACAATTACACCTACTTTGAAAACAATCTGAACGAAAGTTTTCAATTAATAAAAGTGTTAAGCGTAATTTTGTAATAGAAACTGCAATTTTATTTACACTATAGGCCAAAAATATGGTGTTACCTTATACAAATTTACACATGTGAGTATAAAATGTTAAACCTGCAATTTGAAAAATATGATATGAATTTTTTTACAAATATAAGCAGTCAACCCCTGCAGTTGATCTGTTCAATTATTAAGAAACCCAAAGATAAATTATGACTAAAATTTAAAAATTTTAAAGGATGTTTAAAATCTTTTAGTAATTTTACATTACCATGACTAGTTTACTAAAACTGCAGTGGATTACTCTTTTTAATTACAAAAGAATAATAAATAGAATTATTGACTCAACGATATTAAGAAGTCCAAATAAAATTGAAGGGTTCGGTTCAAAAATCGGTCAGCTCTAACTTTGTTCAAAAAGTTGATTTTTCACGTAAATGTAATGCTAACGACTTTTCTTAGACAGTCCTTTGTTGACATTATAAAGCAGGCACATCCAAAGTTGTGTCCCAGGAGATATAGGCTGTCCCTCCCGTGGGCCTTCATTACCCTAGGTCAGGCCTGTCCAAGTAGGGGAATTCACTCCTGGAACACATGTTTTGGGTCCCCTTCCAACGCTGCTCCTTCAAGTAAGATGCGACTACCGTCTCTCCGTCTTTCCTAGCGGCGCGGCGGTATTGTTTCCTCGGTCCCATCTTACTTGAAGGAGCAGCGTTGGAAGGGGATCCAAAACATGTGTTCCAGGAGTGAATTCCCCTACTTGGACAGGCCTGCCCTAGGTACTTACGCGTACACAACTATATTAAAGAAACACTAATCCAGTGGTGGCGAACCTTTTTATCAACTGCTAAATGCTTAGAAAAGGATGGTGAGAAATAATAACTATTTACAATATCTGTTGATTGTAAAATCATACATGTATAGTACTGCGCACAGTAGACGTGGTATCGTTCGGTAGGCATGATAATGTTAGGGAAAAGAAGACTCCGATACTCACGTTTATTCCTCAAAATTTTT